CGATTCGAATATATAATCAAAATTGTTGGCAAATTTTTTCGGAACAGTTTTGTCGTCCCCGGTCGCAGCGCCAACTGTGACGTTCTATCCTGATCTACCACGGCGCCAGTTGTGACGTGGCCGTTCCAGGGTCCTATCCCGGTCACGACACCAGTTGTGACGTCCCTAAACAGCACCAATTGTGACGTCTTCGCCGCGGCGCCAGCTGTTCGCTCCTCGCTGCTCCGTCCGGGTGTCGCTGCTCCAAACGTGACTCCGCCTGTCGCGTCAGTCGTGTTGTCTCGTCCTCTGACGACCAACTGGCTTGGTATCGGTCGCGGCATTCGTGACGTTCTAACCCTTTTGGTGATTCGGGTGGGAATCTGGTTAGATTTGATATCAGCCTCGCCGTTCCCAACCTGCTTCCAACGCCTGGTTACCAAGGTAACTGCACTGATCTCCAGTCTGCCTACCCACGTTGTGAATTGATCTTAGACAGACGAGATCAAACAGGGGTTGGGGCCGTAATGCAAATTGAGTTCAACGGGGGTGATAACACAAAATATGCATAAAAAAGAAAATAAAATGAAAACTCAAAAAAGTTTCAAAGTATCAAAGAAAAAAAGGTAACAAACTTTTTATGTCTAGTTGTTCGATACATAGGACTGCATCTATCTCCCGACCCGTTCTGTGGATTGTGACACGTCGCTTTCGCTAGGCAAGTTTTAACGCTTCAAGTTGTCTGCTCTCTAGGAAATTTGTGTTTCGGTGTGTCTTTGGACGAAAGTCGAAAAACTTATTTCTGTGGTCTGGTTCTAAGTCGCTCTTCAAAATAATTGTTCTTGGTTGAAGAAGAGTCCAAAATTTTGCGTGAATCTTGGTCAGCTATCTTGAGGCGGAACTTTCTCTGCCGTCCGGTCTGAATCTTGCCCGCCAGGGTTGAACTAACTGGACACTCTCTCTGCTGCCAGGGCTCGAACTACAGGGTCTCGAACTGAACTCTCATCTCTGCCGTCAGGGGGCCACTCATTTCTGCCGTCAGGGCACGAACTCTGGACAATCATCTCTGCCAGTCAGGGCCGACGAACTGGGCACACTCATCTCTGTCTGGGGGGGAACTTTTCTGTCTGTTTTTCGTTTTTTATTGACGCCGACCAAAACCGGGGTGGGTCTGTTGGCGTCGGGGGTTCCTCGATAATTCTAAATACATATCCACCTCTTTTATTTCTGGTTAGGGATTTTCCACTCTTTTCCATTTTTGGTAACTTTTTTCTCACTCCCACTTTCTCACCATGCTTCTGAGGGGCGTGAACTGCCCTCCCCACTTCTTCGTAGCGGCTTCTCATACTTATACTCTGGATAGGGGCGTCGACAGTTTTCTTCGTGCGTCACGTGACCACTCTCGGCCAATGAGGTCTTGGTCGGGTATCTTTCCTCCTCCTTCGTGCGTCATGTGATCACCACTTGACCAATGACGTCTTAGTCGGGCGTGAACAACCCGTGGCTTTGTTTTGGAAAAAATATACCTTGCTTAACTAAAAAAAATTAATGATCTCTCCTCTTTTTTTTTTTTTTTTCCTTCAAATCGCCGTTATCATGAACGGATAATGTGACAACTCTTTGTTCAACACGTGGCGTTTGTCAAGCAGTTTATCGCTAATTTATCAGACGGCTGGATTTTCCGACATGGTCTAAGAAAGGAATTTTCTCCAAGTTTTCAGCCAGTCTGACGTCTCCAAAGCAGAAATAAAAATATTTCATTTTCCTTCGGTTCATGTGTCTGATAACAAAATTTTATTATCGCAGGGCAAAAGTCTGTTTTGTCGAAAAAAAAAAAACTAACCAGAAACTACTTGTGTGGGATTTTAATTTTCCATACCCAGCTAAGGCTCCAAGCTACACCTGTGTTTTGTCAATTATCAAAATCTAACGTTTTCAAAATGGACTTTCTTTGGTGAACATTTCTTGATAACACAATTCCATTTTTCGCGGACAAGTGGGAAATCGGTCAATGCTTGTTCGCAGGTGGCCTTTTTAATTTTGATAGTAATATTTTCTCGTACCAATAGTTTAGATAACTTTCCTCTCCCAGTTTTCAATCTCATTGTCATTGAATGAAACTCTTTTCGACATTTGATACCTTATCAAAATAACCCTTTTCTTTCTTATTTTTCTTTCTTAAGCCGTGTGTGTGTGTGTTCGCCTATGACCCGTCCTTATTAAATTTTTTCCTTTCTTTTTCTTCGTTTTCTCTTTCTTTCTCTCCAAATCGCCACAATGCAATGGCGGTTCAATCCTCTTGCAAAAAAAAAAATTATTCTTAAAACCTAAAATACATTTTCGGCCTTAAATAATCCTCAAATGGTTGATAAACCGTAAAAATTTTCCAAATCATATATCTATAAATATTTCTTTCAAATCGCCTGGATGCATGGTGCCTGAAGTTTTTTTTTCTTGGGCCAAAGTCGGTATCGATTATTTCATTCCTTCTCAAATCGTTGACACCAAAAATTTTTCGATTTTCTCCATTGTTCAATTTTCAGAATGTTCTGTCAAAAAAGGTTTAAATTGGTTTTATATCCGGCTATACTATCGTGAGAGTTCTCATCATAACAGGCGCCTATTCGTGGCTGTACGTAATAAAAGTAAATGTGTTCTCGAAGGAGCTAAGTCTCTGCTGCGAGAATGAGGCACCGTATTGCATCTAACGTTTTTGGTTTTCGTGATTACCGGCGGCTCTATAATAGTGTATTAAATAAGACTAATTTTCTATTTTTCCCTCCTTCAGTCAATTTGAGTTATTAATATATTCCGCTAACAAAGCTGAATGTTTCGCCCGTAAATTCTCCTTAAACTTTACTCAAGACTCATCTGGAGTATCCCTGCCTAACTTCGCACTAAGAACAGAGTTTCTGTTGAGTGATATGCATATAAGCCGTTCTATGGTTTCTGCTATCATCTCTAATCTGGATCCCCACAAAGCGTGTAGACTTGATGTTATTCCTGTGATAGTCCTTAAGAAAAGTACTCCTAAATGGATCCCGTTCTCTATAAAGTGTATAATAAATGCCTCTCTGCTTCTTGGGTGTTATGTTTTTCCCTATTAGTTGACTTATGTCGTCAAACATCATTTCTTCCAACTGTCCAGGTGTGCAGTTGCCGATAACTTTATAATGGCCTCACAAGAAGCAATTGCCAACAAGAAGTCCGTTATTTAGCTTTCTCTTCCAATTGGTTTTGAATCCTTTAGCTTTTTGTTCTAGCTTTAACTGCTAGTATTCTAAGCCCCGATTGTACGTATTTATAATTATCAAGTAATAATTGTTCATTTGCTTCGTTAGAACTTTGTGACACCTTTGTTGTGTAATGTTACTGAATCGTGAAAAGTAGTATGCACTCAACTGCCTCATGGGTAATAGCCATAGCTATTTATGGTCTTTGTGACTTCGTATATAAATAAGTCACCAGTGTATTAACTAAGAGTAATTTTTTTATTCGGCCTCGTTTTTATCAATTTGAGTTGTTAACAATAGATAAAGCAGAATGTTTCGTCCATAAATTCTGTTCAAATTCTACTCTTGACTCATCTGGAAATATCTTCCTGACTTTTCACTTAGAACTGTTTCTCTATTGTGTGATATGCATATAACCCGTTATATGGTTTCTGATATCATCTCTAATCGGGATCCCCACAAAGCATGTAGACATGATGTTATAATTCTGTAATAATTCTTAAGAAATGTGCTCTCAAATGGATACTGTACTCTCCAAACTGTGTAATAAATGCCTCGCCGCCTCTTGCTTTCCTGCATCTTGGAATCCTTATCTGTTGTTCCAGTTTTTTGGAACTCCAGTGAACCGTCTGACCTTTCTAACTATAGGAATATTTAACCTTCTACCTCTTTTTGGCCAAACTACTAGAGGCCCTAATCAATGCTGAATTAGGTTCATTATCTCACATCGCAGGGTCTTCTTTCAGACACGGAATATGGCTTTCGTTTCTCCAGGTCAACTGCTAATGTAATGGCAATAATTGCGGAAAGAGTCTATCAAGCTCTAGATAGGAACAGTGAGGCTGTTGGTTTGGGTATCGACAAGCATAGAGGTCTTCTTCACAAGTTGAAAAGTTACGGTGTCCCCGGCCAAATTTTTGAAATGATCCAGTCTTTCTTATCAGATCGTGAAATGAAAGTTATCCCGAACGGCCACTCTTCTAGATCCTTTTGTGTTAATGCAGGTGTCCCCAAGGGATCTATCCTTGGTCCTATTTTGTTTTTAATTTTCATCAACGATTCAGCTCCCAACTTGGTATCTACGCTGATAGCCCCACCCGATAGTAAGTCTGATCAGCCCGATGCGGTAAAAATGGCGGCTGGTGTCAGAAACGACCTTCAGTATGTTGTTAATTGGGGCAAAGGATGACTTGTTAATTTTAACACCTCCATAACTAAACTTCTCTCTGTTAAACATCTGAGAGACCCCTTTCTGCCTTCCATCATCATGGCTGATGCTAACCTCTAGGAAAGTGACTCGTTACGCCTTCTCGGGCTAACTTTCTCAGCTGACATGAAGTGGAAATATTGAATCCATTGCTAAGTAAACAGCTAAGAAAGTTGGTTCACTGTGTCGTGCGAGAAAGTTTTTCTCTCCAAAATGTATCTTTCATATCTACATGTCTACCATTCTTCCATGTTTAGAATATTGCTACCATGTATAGTCCGGTGTTCCTGCTATTCACTTTGAGCTCCTTGATGAAATCTACTGAAGAATCAGCAATATTATTGGTCCTGATCTGGCGACTCGGCCTCAGTCACTTTCCCACCGTCGTAAAGTTGCCTCACTCTGCATTTTCTATGAATACTTTCATGCCAACTGTTTGGATGAACTCTTCGCTATGGTACCTAGTCTAGATGAGCTCTCCGCTATGGTACCTAGACTAGATGAGCTCTCCGCTATGGTACCCTAACTAGATGAGCTCTTAAAAATATATCGTTATTTAATTACGAGATGACTTCTTCGCTATGGTACCTAGACTAGATGAACTCTTTGCTATGGTACCTCGACTAGATGAGCGCTTCACTATCGTACCTAAACGAGATGATGTCTTCGCTATGGTACCTAGACTAGATGAGCTCTTCGCTATGGTACTTCTAGTAGATGATGTGTTTGCTATGGTACATCGATTAGATGGTAACTCGAGTAGATGAGCTCTTTGCTATGGTGCCTTGACTAGATGAACTCTTCGGTATGGTACCTAGATGATCTCTTCGCTATGGTACCTAGACTAGATAAGCTCTTCGCTATGGTACCTGAACTAGATGAGCTCTTCGCTATGGTACCTAGACTGTCGAAGAGGTCTCCCCGTTTTACCGTTGTGTTGACAGGATGTAATCGTAATTTCTATTCTAATAGTTTCTTTTCTCTCACTTCTCACTTGTGGAACTCACTTCCGGTTTCATGCTTTCCAGTCAACTTTAATCTTCAAAAATTTAAATGCAGTGTCAATCGCTAAATGCTGTCCTCCTGATTACTCTTCTTTTGTCTTCGCTCCTTATTAATGCTTCTGTTTTCTAATTCTTCCACGCCCATAACTTGTCTTAGTGGCTTTACTGCCTTTCTTGGGGTGAACTCGCTTAAATAAAAGAAATAAAAACGTCGTTAGTTTTTCAAAGTTTTAAAATTTAATAGAGGCTCATGAATATTCATCACGTTAAGTGAAAAGTCTGGGTAAATTATGGGCGCTAAGTGACGTAATTTAATGTCTATTAAACTAAAGTGAATAATGATTTTTTTTAATAATAATGTACCGTATTTGATGCTATATAAGGCACACTTCTTTTTTTTTTTACTAAAAATATCTTTTAAAATCCTGCATCTTATTTGCCAAATATAGGTTTAAAATTTGTGATAGCTGAAATCAACTACCTGGGCAACTTCTATTAGCTTAGACTTTAGAGTACCTTTCATATACCTATTGTCATTATTTCAAAGGCTATTATGCAGATTAAAAGTGTTATCATTGATAATATTCATTATATTAATTTCATCACGTTTAATATTAGTACTTTGTTTCACTAAAATTAAATGCAATAAATTCAAATTATATATTTGTAAAATATATTTGTTTCATTAATATTTTTCTTGCGATAACTTACGGCTGCATTGGTATAAATACAATCAGAATTTTTATATCCTAATTATTCCAAGAAGATGCTTACAAGACGCAGGTTGTACAGATCATTTAAACGATGTAATAAAGATTTTATAAGCTCGTTTTCTTTTTTCCTATTATTTTTTCTTTATTTGTAATCATGCCTTGTTTAACCAAAATAATACCTCAATATGGCCTAGGCTGTACCATTTACTAATAATTTTATTATTTTTACTATTTTTTTCTTGATTTACCCTGCTGAAATTGGGGTGCGTCTTTCCCACTCTTGCGGATTATATGCCGTCAAATTAATTAATTAATATATATATATATATATATATATATATATATATATATATATATATATATATATATATATATATTTGAGAGAGAGAGAGAGAGAGAGAGAGAAGTGAGAGAGAGTATTAGTGGTAAATATACACATACATATGCAATCATATATCTAAAATATATAAATATATATACAATACATACATACATATATATTTTGTATAAAAAAATACCAAGAGGATAGAATCCAGGTAGAACTCAATGTCTATATGATAGAGTATATATAATAAAAAGGCTTAAATACTAATATTCCATGGTATATTAGTGTTTAAGACCTTTTATTATATATATATATATATATATATATATATATATATATATATATATATTTTAGTTTGAGATTATTTTACGTATTATATATATTTTGAATAATTGGTTATGAATTTAACGGTTTACTTTTGATTTTTTAATATTTTTATAGTCATGTATGTTGACTTGGGAAATAAGTAATTCTTTCAGGAAAGGAAATATTTAAAAAAAAAATAAAATCCGGGGCTCAAATTTATATTTTCATAATATTCGATAGTAGACCTCTCAAGAATTTTCCGTCTAAGTAAGTTGTTATCTCTTTTAATAACTATAGCATTATATGTTATTTTTATAAAGTTACTATCTCTTATTTTATTTTTATATTATCTTTTATGTTATTTTTATAAAGTTACTATCTCTTATGTTATTTTTTATACTATCTCTTATGCTATTTTTATAAAGTTACTACCTCTTTTAATAAGTGTAGCATTATATGCTATTTTTATAAAGTTACTACCTCTTTTAATAAGTGTAGCATTATATGTTATTTTTATAAAGTTACTATCTCTTATATCATTTTTATAAAGTTACTATCTCTTATGTTATTTTTTATACTATCTCTTATGTTATTTTTATAAAGTTACTATCCCTTATATTATTTTTTATACTATCTCTTATGTCATTTTTAAAGTTACTATCTCTTTTAATAAGTATAGCAATTTTTTAGATCGATGTTGTGTTTGAATTTATTTCTATGTATGACTAATGCCTTTCGATAAATTGTTGCGTATGAGATGCTTTTTGTGTTCATATATCTTCTCTTTTTTCTTTTTCCAAGTTTCCCCAATAAATTGTGATTTTTATAAATACTTGCATCACAATTATTATTCTTATGGTATTTTTGGTTCTAAGCATATCTATAATAGTCTTGGGTGTGGTTGCAATTATTTTTATATTAAGATTAGATAAATTGCTTTTGACAGAGGTTAAGGAGTTTCTAGGTCGTATTATATGTCTGTATTTATCTAGTTCATAGTGATTGTTGTTAATTGTTAGTAGCCATCTTTGTTAATTGTTTTTATCATTGTTTATAGCTGTTGTTGTTGTTGTTAATAATGCCATTAGCCTTTTTAAGGTTTTTGGTTGGTTTGTTTGGTTTGTTGTGTTTTACGGCATGTCAACACCTCATTGGGTTATTTAATGCTGACAACTTTTTTTTCCTGGTAATATTTTGTTTTGTCAAAAATCTATTTCTGGTAATATTTTTTTCCTCAAAAATCTATAGCTGGTATTATAATTTTAAAACATGTTTTCCTAGTAATATATTTTTTTTAAATATATTGCTGGTAATACATTTTTTTTCTTAAAAATTTATTTCTAGTAACAATTCTTTTACAAAATATGTTTGGTATTAAAACCCATTTTAACGCTTTTATAATACTTTTTACCTTAGTTTCAAGGTTAACTAATTGCCCATAGCTGGGACCCCCTAACAGGGGCTACTACCCCAGGTCAGGGTGGACCTGGGAACACCAGCAATTAAGAGGTGGTTCTACTCTCCTCAAAAGCTCTTGATCAGAGGCCTTGCTGTTGGATGTTGTTTATTGTCTTACCCTGGACACGGATGTAGTTTATCGTCTTACCCAGGACGTTTGCGGGTTTTACTTTTATTTATAAATACTTGTAAAATAAAATCCATATAAAGTCCATCAGAAAACGAAACGCATCGTCTAAGAGGAGTTTTCTTAAGATGTCCCCATTCATATATATATATATATATATATATATATATATATATATATATATATATATTTTTGTGTGTGTATATATATATATATATAAAGAAAGAAAGAACAGTAAAGATATATAATCTGGTGTTCTTTTCTTGATATTTCTATTTTTTTAAAATAGTGCTTTCAAGGTAAATTTTCAAAGCATTATTATTATAAATTAACTGATTTAAAATATGGTTAACCATATTTTAAATCAGTTAATTTATATATATATATATATATATATATATATATTTATAATATATGCATTATTTTTAGTGGAAAATGCTCAAATCAGTGACAGAGCTAATATATTGAGTTGTATAGATATTAGTTTGAGTTTGTTTATATGGGTGTGTCAGTGTGAACTAGAATGCGTACGCCCGTATGTATGTGTGTCTGTGTGTGAGAGTGTCCTCCCAAACAAGCACAGAAGAAAATCCTTTTTCAACACCAAACATAATCAAACATAAATAATCATAAATAGATAAATTTTTAAAAGATAAACCAGTTTGTCTGATGATCGCAAAACCGTGAAACAGAGGGTCGCAAACTAATAACCATACAACTGAATATGTGTGCGTATGTGTGAACGCGCGAGCGCGTGTGCGTATATATATATATATATATATATATATATATATATATATTCACATGTATTTACATAGTATAATAATTTGCATAGAGTGTGCCCGTACAATCTGTTATTTTCACCTTCATTCTAATGTCGCTGAGAATTGAATGTATCCATCGTTTATACCTCCAGCTAAGGTACCCTGGCCTTGTGTGATAGACAACTCAGGTGACGTCCAAAGTTGGATTTAAAACCTTGGAGAAGGCAACAAAAAACTGACACTTCCTCAACGTCGTGAGGTAGTTTCCATTTGTCTCTTTTATAAATCTTTTCATGAAAAGTATTATACTACGGTTTCATCTTTCGTACCTCGGCCGCTTCGATTTCAACGTACTACTAGATTGGCAGTTAGGTCCCCCGTTTTGCTGTTGAAGCAGCTAGTTCTCCTGTGGATCTTCAACAATTTAAATACAACATAAATCGCCATTTGACTTATTTAAACCTGTTCTTCTATTGCTTCTCGTCAGCAACCCCTTGCTTCTTACTGGCATTATTGCTTGGCTTGAAATGTTTAAAAAAATTATTTTGTATACAAATGACTCTCCTCTTTTGCTCATGACATTTTTTCATTCATTCAGTCAATTTTACTTCCTTATCGTTTATAAGATAGTCTCGATTTACAGGATTCTTTTTTTTTTCTGCCTTCAAAAAACTACTGTTTCTTTTGTTTTCTTTCTTTTTTCTTTTTTCTTTGACAAATTATGCTACGAAATACCGACGTTTTTATTGTTATTCTCGTGAGGACTTTTTTTCGTTCTACATCTTTTTATATTTATATTTTTTGTCTCAACTTCCCTTTCTTTCTCCTACGTCTTTTAAAACTCTACTTCTTTTTTTTTTCATTCTTTCTTTCGCTGTCAAACACAATATTTTAAAATAACGTTCTATTTTCTTTCTCTGTTTTTCATTCCTTCTTTATTTCTTTTCTCCGTTCTTTCTTTGTAAACCACACTATTTTTAAATACCATTTTTTCATCTTTCTTTCCTTTTTTTCTTTCGTTCTTTCTTTCTTTCTTTCTTAGTCGACGGCTCCATTTTAAAATTCTGTTCTTTTTTGTTTCTCACTTTTTCTTTCTTTCGCACTTTACATTTCTTCATTCTTTCTTTCTTTCTTCACTTTCAATTTTTCTTTCTTTTCGTTCTTTCTTTCCTCCCTTTCATTCTTTATTTTTTCACATTCTTTCTTTCTTCACTTTCTTTCTTTCTTTCTTTTCGTTCTTTCTTTCCTCCCTTTCATTCTTTATTTTTTCACTAAATAGATTTTTTCACTTTCTTTCTTTCTTTCTTTTCGTTCTTTCTTTCCTCCCTTTCATTCTTTATTTTTTCACTTTCTTTTTTTCTTCACTTTCTTTCTTTCTTTCTTTCTTTCTTTCTTTCTTTGTCGACGGCACCATTTTAAAATGCTGTACTTTTCTGTTTCTCATTCTTTCTTTCTTTCTTTCTTTCTTTCTTTCTTTCTTTCTTTCTTTCTTTGTCGACGGCACCATTTTAAAATTTTGTTCTTTTTCTGTTTCTCTTTTTTTTTCTTTTGCACTCTAAATTTCTTTTTTCTTCACTTTCGTTCTTCCTTTTTCATTCTTTTTTCTTTAGGACTCTTGTTTCCCCTTATATTTCTATTTTCATTTATTTTTTTCTTTCTTTATATCTTGTATAGATTATCGGGACTGTTACAAAATAAATTTATATTTTTATATCAAATAGATTGATTTCAGATTAATTTTTTTAAAATCATATTCCTTTTTGCTTTAAAAGCATGGCAATTTCAGCTTTCATTCTGCTCGGCCCTATTCATGAAGAATTTCATAACAAGTAATTTTTTTCTGAAGGGAACATTATTGGTGCTATTTCTTTCAATTTTAATTCCAAATTCTTTTTATTTATATTTTCTTGGGTCTAGTTTGTATTGAAAGCTAACCGATTTCAAAAAAAACAGCCCTTTCTTAAACCCTTTATCATTGGACCAATCGAGAGATCGCCTTTTTTTCCTATATTTACTTTTCTTTAGATTCACCTTAAAATTTCATCAAATCATAATTTATCTTTATTTTTCTTTTTCTTTTTCAGTGTTTTAAGCGATCATGTTTCTTTCGAGGTTGATGACTTATCCAAAGCTTTTTTCTTGAGAATTAAAAATAATTCATCCCTTTTCCCAAGGATATTAGCACGTAGATGAAGGTAATGGATTCGACTAGAAATCGAACTCGGCTCTCCGATTCCTCAATCCGAGCCTCTATCCGTTACTCCACCGTCCCTGCAGCTTTATCATCTTTCTATTTTAGGCTGTCCTTTTTGCGCACATTGTGGTCTGTCTTTTCAAAACGATTTCAAACGTCTCTTCATTACGTGTTTCTTTTGTTTTTGAACAATTTTTATCATTATCTTGATTTGGAATAACATTGCTCCTCTCTTATTTTTTTTAATTAATAATGTATATATATATATATATATATATATATATATATATATATATATATATAGATAGATAGACAGATAGATATATATAATATTAGTAGTAAATATACATATATATATGCAAAATATATAAATATATATACATACATGCATACACATACATATATATTTTTTTTTTAAAAAAAAAAAAATCCAAGAGGATAGAATCCAAATAGAACTCAATGTCCAGGACAGAGTAAGGATATAACAAAAGGCTTAAACACTAATATTCCATGGTCATAATTTATTCCATTGGAATCAAATAAATACGATCCAATTCATCAGACATAACAATTCAAAAATATATGAATATATATATATATATATATATATATATATATATATATATACATAACATTCTCTCAAAGATTTTAATTCTTCTCTATATCTATCTATTTATCTAAAAATCTAACTCCTCTATATATATATATATATATATATATATATAAATCACACATCGCATTCAACCAATAGCACTGTGAAAATGACCAAGGAGGGAATTCTGAAACTCAGGAATCTCTGATCATCTATCTTTAAAACAACTTGAAAAAGGAGGCCATTTGACCAACACAAGGACTGACCAAAATTAACGTTAAAATAAGAACAAATGAAAACTACAGATAAAGTTCACTTTCTTCAGAAACAGTCATTCACTCCTGTAGTTCACTGCTACTAACAAACAGGGTTATTTTTTTTTCTCCTGATGATGGCCATCATTACTGGCCGAAACTAGTCGAGGAACCTAATTGAAATAATAAAACCAAAAACATTAATATACAACCCAGTGTGCCTGAAAATTTTAAATTTTCAATATTGTTTTATTGTTCGTATATATATATATATATATATGTGTGTGTGTGTGTGTGTGTGTGTGTGTGTGTGTGTGTGTGTGTGTGTGTGTGTGTGTGTGTGTGTAAAAAAATATAATAAGAAAATAGGAAAAGAACTCGTTAGGTAAATAATCCAAAGTTCTTTAGTATTTTTAATGTTAAAAAAATAGTGCGCTATCTCAAACATGACTCCATTATCAAAGATAAGACAAAATAAAGAATATATATATATATATATATATATACATAAATATAATATATATATATATATATATAAATATATATATATATAATATAGAAAAATATTCATAAAGCAAACGTATATATGTCAAAAATCAAATATTCATAAAATAAAGTAAATTGATATATGATATAAAAACGCCGAATTAGAAGAAAAATATAAAGCAGACCTGAAAATATATCATATCGAGCAATTTAGACAAATCAAATCATCTCAAATAAATATATATTCATCCATTATTTTGAGAATTTATATCATATTTTTCTTCAACTTTTATATTTCCAATTTAACGAATGAAATATATTTAGAAAAATTCAAGGTCCAAATATCAAACAACAATGAACGTAAGGACATAAAGTTAAGAAATACTAAGACAGTGACACAAAGAATATCAGGTTGTTAATCAAAAACATAACAGTAGAAAGGTATTTAGAAAGAGAGAGAGAAAAAAAAAGGAAGAGAACATCGAGGGTGGGGATCGAGAGAGGGATTTATAGATTGCCGAGCGATAAGATGACTGGTAATTCTTAAAATTGCTCAACAAACGTAAGAATATTTTTACCAGGAATACACAAAGTACTTATATAAATTCTTTTCAAATATGACATAAGACAACACACACACACAGACATACATATGAAGGTACATGAAGATGAAGATATACGCTGATAAATATATATATATATATATGTATGTGCGTGTGTGTGTGTACGTGTGTGTGTGTGTGTGTATGCATATATGTCTGTGCGTATAAATCAGCAATGATGAAAGGATACTTGAAAAATATTTGGCCTCTGTTCATAAATATCTATTTCTATCCACATCTATCTATCTATCTATCTATCTATCTTATACATATATATATATATATATATATATATATATATATATATATATATATATATATATATCAAACTGTTTCATGTATAACTATCTCTCAGTCTGTTCAATCTATCTATCTATATATCTTATTTTCATCTATCTATCTATCTATCTATCTATCTATCTTCCTCTTAGTCTGTTTATCATATCTATCTATATATATATATATATATATATATATATATATATATATATATATATATATATATATATATATATATCTGTTCGCATATAAATATCTCAGTCTGTTCACATGTTTTCATCATCTATCTATCTATCTCAGTATGTTAATCTCTCTCTCTCTCTCTCTCTTTCTCTCTCTTTCTCTCACAATCTTTTTATACCTACGTATATGTATCTAGCCAGTTAGCTATCTCTACGCTTCTTCATCAATCGTTTTATTTGTAACAACATTTCCTTCAGTTAAATCGCCATTTTCTTTCTTTTCCTTCCCATCTTTCCTTATTTCATTTTTGTCTTTCTTTCTTCATTTGTTTTCTCTTTTTCCTTTCCGTTTATTATCTTCTTTCCCTCCCATTTTTCCTTCTACTTTTCTTGCTTCTTTCATTCTATTAATTTTTTTTTTAAATATTTCCCTCCGTTTCTCTCCTTATTTCATTTGTCTTTCCCATTCACTTTCATTTTCTTTCCCTCTTTTTCCCTCATATAGGTTCTTTTTCACTTATATTTTCTTTGTTCTTTTTCTCTTCCTGTTTTCCTTTTTCTTTTTTGCATTTTACACGACTTCTTCTGTCTTCTCATTTTTTTTTAACTTTACTTCCATATTTAATCTTTCTTTCTCTCTCACGTATTCCTAATTTCATTTTTCCTTTTTCTCTAGACATTTTCTCTCTCCCATTTCTCTGTCGGCTTTCTCTTCCACTACACATTTTCTTTTTTAATTCTTTCATAAATTCTTATTATTATTTTCTTTTTTAGGACTAATCGTCTCTTTATACTTGAGTATTTATTCTGTTTTCTTTCATAAATATCTTCTTCCATCAGTTTCTTAGTTCTTTCTTCATTTCTTCTTCTTCTTCTTCTTCTTCTTCTTCTTCTTCTTCTTCTTCTTCTTCTTCGTAA